TGTAGAAGAGAATGTGTGAGGCTAAGGGTTGAACTTTGGATTCCTGGGGGTCCTCTGAGCGGGGCTAACCAAAGCTCAGAGCACCCCAAGGACTCCATAGTTCAACCCTGAGCTACACATATTCTCTTCTACAGGTATTTATGTTTTTTAAAAAAACCTCTTCCCTCACCTGCTAACCTCCATATGCATTGGGATTCTGCTTCTACAGAATTACTTACTCATGCAGGGTTAGAATTCTGGGAATTTGTTCCTAATATCTCTGGAGAACACTAGATTGAGGAAAGGTGACCTAGCCAACCATATGATAATGTGATGTAACACATTTTGAGCTGTTTTCAGTATTAAATATTCTCTGTCTATATGGGGTAGAAATCATTTTTAGTTCACATTGATCACTGACATACTCATAGTGGCTAAATACTGTAATCATTTTCCCACATCTGCAGTGGCCCATAAATATAGAATATTGACTTATCCTTAGTTACATAAATATAGCGGGCTGGATCCAACAAAGACTTTGTACTAGTGAAAAGTGTCTCTGTTCCTGCAAGACAAGGCACCTGATTTTGAGCCATTCCTCTCAACCCAATACAACCCTCTCTGTCAACCTGAAAACTGTGGTCCTCTGGAACAGTATGGGGTGTGGCACAAAGGACTGTTGTAGATAGTAGCTTTCCACAAAATGAAGTTGTGCCTTATGAGGGTGGAAGACATTTCTGTGGGTGCAAAGTCCCTTTTGCATAAAACTTAATGTTGATATTTAATTCCTGCAGTTATAATAAGCATAATTTGCTTGTAGTTTTTACTACTACCAACAATTGCATAGTGAAACAGCTTTCATTAGTGTAGTAATCGCTACATTCTAATAGAATTTCATTGTCTGTCAGAACCTTGAGTTACCTGCTATTGCTGATGTGACAGTTTCAAAGGAAAAGAGAGAGACACTGATTATAAAAGGCTAGAGTGTTACATGTGGGTTAATAGAAACTTTGGTTGTTAATAGTTATACATATTTATGTTTCTTTTTGAAAATATTAGTGCAATATTCAAAATGCATTATTCTGAATAGACAAACTTTCAGGGTCCCTCACACCTTCAACTTAAATAACATGTTTCAGAGAAAAGTGTCCCACATATGTACAGGATATCATAACACCCTTATTTTGTGGTTTTATGACTTTATTGTTTTGCTCTTTTTAGGGTGAATCTGGCAGACCAGGGCAATCTGGAGAAGTTGGATTTTCAGGATCTCCAGTATGTTCAATTAACTGTTCTTCTCAACAAATCATACCTTAAAATCAGGAAAAAATTTGTAAAGGTTCCTAGACTGCACTTAAACAATTTATATGTATCATCAAAAAGTATACCTTTTTGACCCCCCAAAAGATAAGAGACCTGTATCTTGTTAGTCCAGTTTCTTAAATTTATCTGGTTTTTCGAACGTGCAAGAGATTTAATCTTTGGCAACTATATTGTTGGGTTGGAATGAGAGTTGGGGATAGAAGATAAGAATGGGGAAAAAATGGACTAGTGGTCCTGAGTATGAAAAACAACATATCAAAGATCAAAACGTATATCCATCCACATCCATAGAGTTCCAATTGCAAAGTGGATGTAAATGCACTCAGGAAATACATCTAAATAGGCAGAGAATTTGCATGTGGATAGTATCACTATGTGGCATAGTTGCTAGACGGTACAGGAGTTATATATATATTATGAAGCTGAGTCAGAAGTTTTCTCTGTGTTCTCCTTGAAGAGGGACAATAGTTATATTACTGATTTCTGATCATAGCATGAAAATAAGTTTATTATGCCAAGTGTTATCACTAGACAAAATTGCAGAAGAACGTTTGTTAGTAGATTCTGAATGGGGGAAAAATCAAGAAGAAACCAGTAGAAAAAAGGCTACTAAGTGTCACTTTGTCTGTTTGGTCAGGAAGCTCCTATCTTTGCTCTCATTGAACAATCAATACAAAATTATTGTTCTCTTCCAGTCAGAGTAAATGTATGATTTGCTGTCCTGAAACGCAATACAGTAGCACATTTGAAAGAACCCTATGATATAAAGGCTTTAATAGAAAGCTTTAAGCAATCTCTTCGTAGGATTGTTGGTCCAAAAATGGATTGTTTTCCAAGAAAACTTAGAAAACGATGCAGAACAGACAGGGCAAATTCCAAAGCTTTATTGGTTATAAAGATGTACATTTCCTGACCAGCAAGGCAAAACAATAGTGGCGTGTTTTCTCTCATTGTTTTGCATGTGCATTTAAATTTCAGAACTGAATGAGAATGCTTAAGATTGGCCTTAAAAATCACTCAGGTTGCCTGTGCTATTGTGCAGACAGTTCTATATTGCTGAGTTAGAAATCTCTCACATGAATAGTCACAGGTTGCATGTAAATTGCTTGCCTGTTAGATAAGCTAAAGAACAACAGCTCTACAAATCAATTTACATTTCTGCTAAGTGGAAAACTCAGGGGCACCAATGACCCCCAAGTTTTTGCCATGATGTGCTTCACAATTTATTTTACTTACTTACTAAATCTGCATTAAAAAACCTCATCCAGATAACAGAATCCTTTGAAAACTTGGGCAAATAATTAAACATAAAAAGTTGCAAATACTTTTGAAGATTTTAATGACTAATCATTCATCTCAAGCCATTTTGAAGACCTGTAAAGCTAGACTTGTCCTTCTAGCAAGTTTTGGAAGTCAGCAGATCTGGTGGATGATCTGCCCAGGGGAAAAGTGAATAGAAAAGTTTAAAAGGCACTTTTAAAATCAAGCCATTTAAGTTTGGGTGATGCCTTTAGTTGCTTTCTGACCAGGATCACATGGGAAGAGAGGTCCCCACTTTCCCAGACCCTGGAAGGAAACGTGTTCAACTCTGTGGGAGATAAACAGGTTTTCAGAGGTATTGGGGAACAGGTCCTGCCACTTCACTTGGTACAGTTTTTACTCTTTTTTGAGATTACGATCTGCTACTTCCTTTAAAGCTTTTCAAAGTTATTTTTTATTTAAACATATGTAGTGAAATTTCTACATTATTTTTCATCCTGAACCTAAGATTTTCTAATGTAGAAAGCTCAGGTATACATTTTACTTATGCCGGAATGTTAATTTGTGGCTTCCATAAATACTTATTTACCCTTTAAAGTAATTTGCCTTCTTTCATTATTTTATCTGTGAGCCCCTTTCTTTCTCTCTTTGCCAAGGACCTCAACTCTTCTCCCAGCATTCAACTGTTCTGCAATTATTAGTTCCAGTGGCAGATGCAGTTGTAGTATTCATGATGTGTGGTGTTTTCCAGTGCTTTTGTATCTCAGTCCTCATATCTCAATTTGTTATCTACTCTTGCACTAAGTATTTAATATTTTCCCATTTTCATCTCACAAAGAACCCAGTAAAAGAAGTTGGATTGGCCTTCCCCAGTTGGCATCATTTCCCAGGATTCTGAAGGTTAAAATATGAACTACATTATATATTATCATCCTGGCATCTGGGGACTTAAAGAAATCTGCCCTTACCGTCTTCATTTTGGATTTCCTTCCCATCCACCCATAGTTAAAAGAAAAAAAACCCTGTACTAAATGCACATTGTGGGCATTATGTAGTATGTAATTTGACTTTAAATTGCATAGAGCACTTCCAGGGATAGAGGAGATTCTCTGTTGCACAAATGTACTGGACAATAAAAAATGTCATGGTTGGGGCACTCGGTCCCCTCATTATATGAAAAAGCCATTGAGAAGGAAAGGAAGAGTGGAGAGCTACCACATTTATCCCTGAATACCCTTCTTACATGCAGAGCTTATACACAGTTCAAATGACTAAAGGCACCTTGTATGGATGGATGGATACGTGGCACAAACATCTGTATTATAGGACAGGAATGAGGAATACTAGGACAGTAGTCTGACTTGATATGAAGTAGCATCTTGTGTCATTATATAATTGTGGGTTTTCTCATTCTGCTTCAGGGCGCTCGAGGTTTTCCTGGTGCACCAGGTCTTCTAGGTTTAAAGGGCTTTAGAGTAAGTGTGAATACATCTGAATACATTCTACTGAAAGAGTTGACATTTATTCTTTTGCTAAATGTTTTTTTTTAAGTCTTTCCTTCCTTTTTCCCTTTGTTTAGTGAATGTGTCTTCAAAATTATTTATTTGTTTACTGGATTTATATGCCACCGCAATTGCTGAGTATATTTATATTTATATCACAGGGAGAGAAAGGACTTGAAGGCCCTAAAGGTGAAATTGGAGCTCCTGGATCTAAGGTAAAAGTTTGTTTTTGACCACATAATAAAATAGTATTGTTCTATTGTTGCAACTTATTATGAGATGGATCATATGCTTTTAGGGAAGGTATGGAGGAAACCTTCTCTCAGTAGACCAAACCTTCTATGATGCATGATGTGTTTGCAGAAATATAGGTCAAAAATAATTATTGCCCTGGCAGAAATCATACAAGCAGCAAAAAAGAGATTCTGGTTTTATCATTTAATTACTTACTTATAATGTAGTGGGAGGAGAGAAGAGAACACAAGTAGCCAGTCAGACAGGATCCTTGAATTTCTCATGTTTAGCAATAGACAAAATGGGAATATTTAGCATTATTGACTCTATGCAATAGAAGTAGTTCTAGGAAGGTTAAAACTGAGGAAACATTCAGCTTTGCTGCCCACTAGGTGCTTCGTGGATGGATTGAAATAAGCTCAACTCACACATAGTGTTGCTTCTTTCTGATGGAGTAGAGAGTTTTAGTGTGATGGATTTACTTTACCCTTGTGTTAATTTAACTACCTTCTTCAATCTAGATAAATCCAGAAAGAACTATACATTAGGAGTTTCATCAAAGTTTGCTTGTGGCATTTGCCAGGTGACAAAATATTGCAGAGGAACTCATAGGAGGATGCTCTCAGTGTTGCAAGGTTAGGGATATAATTCACACATGAGGAACCCTGGAAGAATGAGCATGCCCTAATATTGCTTCATTTGGTGCTGTAGTTCATGGACCAGATGTAGTATTAAGGGACATTTCCATCTGGTCCACAGCTGTCCAGCCTGTGGAATAACTAGGCTTTTAAAAAGTTTTAATTGGCAACAGTGGATACCTTTTAAAAATACAATTGAGGTGCACAAGGAAAGAATTGGGGTGGAATACATTCCTGAGAAAAAAAGAACTCTCTTCTAGTATATTGAAATCTGTCCCAAGAACCTCTCACCCTCACTAGGCAATTTAACGTGAACAAAACACTTCATGTATATATTTGAAGCTGTCATGGAGGGATCAGTAGAAGGAGAAGGAGAAACCATCAAAATGACACAACAAAAACTCAGGAATATTGGAGCAACAAAATCTGATACCTCAGTTGGAACAATTTCCAACTATCTGCTGTTTGAAATGCATATTGCATTTCATTTTAATTTCATTATACTGCTGTAGAGATTGTTGCAAGGTGTATAAGGGTTTTTTGTTGCTTTGCTGCCGAAATGTGGGTCCCAAAGTTTGAATAAGCTATTTTTTTCATTCACCGTACAGGGTGAATCAGGTCCATCAGGGCAGATGGGTGCAACAGGTCCTGTGGTGAGTACATTCATTATTTACAGTTCTTTTCCTTTTTCCTCTTCTATGCTTTTGTATTACTGTATGATAACTGCAGTTTTAGTCTAATTGTTGAAAAAATATATTAAGCAGTTTTACTTCTTCTTTCAGCCTTCTCTGAGTTGTTGTTTAACTATACAAACTCACACACATTTAGTAAGATGTAGGGTGTGTATAAAATGGAAAATGTGTTTTGTTTTGTGCTTGGACCAAAAAAGCTCCACTTACAACTTTCCAGTAGAATGTTCTGAGTTGGTTGTATATTGTTGGAACAAAGCTTGAAGCAGCTTGGGTGTTCTGCTGGGAAAAAAGTGAAATATTCAGGTGTTCCAGCCATAGGAAAAAATGAGAGTTCCATAGGTGATGCTTGTTCAATTGCTCTCTTGTTTCACACACTGGTGTCACAAAATTAGTTGGGATGGCAATCCATACCAGCTGCCACCTGACATCCAGACTGCAGGAAAAGTGGGCAAAGGGGTGATTTTTTTAAAGTGAAAAAATTAATTCCCACAGAAACTATACTAGCAATTTGATTCCTATAGAGGCAGTCAACCAGACTGGGCCTGGAAGTGATAACTGAAAGAATGCAAGTAGATTTTGCTTTTTTAAAGTAAAGACAGCATCACTTGTCCTCCACTTATGCCTAGGGAAGAGCTTTTCTCTCTGAACTTGAGTTTTCCTCAGTTTTACCCACCACCATTGCTGCCACAGAAAGAGCAGATATGTTATTAAGACTGAAACTCCTTGGAGCAACTGCCTTTTCCTTCACCACTGACCTTAAATGGTGACTGACTATATTCTCCCTGTATCTGCTCCTTCTTCCACATTAACTGTATGTAAGATCTGTCCTTGAAGCTGAATATATGATGGATTGTCTTATCCTTTATGCACCTGCCCAACAATCAACCTGAACTGAAAATGCCACACTTGATATACGTTGTGTCTATGAAAACTCAGAAGGCATTATTCTCAACACAGGAATCTGCTAAGGAATTTTCTTTGCATCTTCCTATCTGGAAAACGTTTACTTCATAATGCAAGAGAGAGAGAGAGAGAGAGAGAGAGGGAGGGAGGGAGGGAGGGAGGGAAGAAAGAAAGAAAGAAAGAAAGAAAGAAAGAAA